AAGTTGGGCTTTGCAAACGTGAAAAAAGAAAGTGTTGCAATTACAGAAAATGTATAATTTAATTCCTCATCTATGTTTTTGTACCCTAGCTTAGCACACTCACATTTCTAACAATTGTTTCTGCTAACAAGGTGCTTTACTAGTTACGTACAATTCTCAGCTCTTAAATGGTGTTTTGCATATCGATCAACTTTTAACTTAATTATACTCCATCCATACATATATCGAACTAACATAATCTTTTGTAACATGATAAAAATTAAATAAAAAGCTTATTTTAAAATACTTTTTAATTTAAAGTATGAAATCAGCCGACTTTGGGGTTTAAAATTTGAGAGAATACCCTAAATAGGAGTAAAAACGTTTTGAAATTCCAAAATAGGAGTATCATGTTTTTTATTCCCTAAATAGGAGTAAATTTCTGCCAAGTTTGGGCATTACAAGGCTTTAAACATGGCATTTTCTTCCAAACTTGGCAGATTACTCCTATTTAGGGAATAAAAAACATGATACTCCTATTTTGGAATTTTCAAATTTGTGGTTCTTTCATATATGTGGCGGCTATAAGCATCACGGTTCGGTGTATGCACACATCATAACCACAAAGGGAAGAAGCTTTTGGATTTAGTATTAAACATTTGTTGAGTAAATTATGATTACGTGACTGACAAATAAGGGCCTTTTGGAAATAAAATTTACTCGTTTCTTCTTGATTATTTGGATGATAGGTAAAAGAAAATTGAACATGATTAAGGATATGTAGACAAATCATGTACATTGACTTCAACCCAAGATTGCTTGAAAACATGACGTTGGCTTATTATGAATTACTATCACCACTTGATTGTGTAAGAGTCACAATGTTGTATTTACAAAAAAATTGTAATACCACTTGAACATTGTATTTACCCCTTGAACATTGTAATACCAATTGTAAATGGCGAACCACTTGAACATTGTATTTACAAAAAAATTGAAAATAATAACATCATTATAGATAGGAAAAATTGAAAATAATAATCCCAACTATTGCTGGTTCGCCATTAATAATCCAAACAATCGATTATTCCTAGGTGGTCCCAACTGTAGGGATCATTTTTCAAAAATGGTGCCTAATTTGTTAAAACCTGGTATAATAGGTCATTTTTAAATGTGAACTATGTGTAAGATTTAAATAATCCCAACTATAGTTGACCTTTTTTTATTAATCCCAACTATCAACTCTCGATCAATTTCTTGAAGATGTAAACATATTTTTATAAATTTCCAAACTAAATATTTTTAGGTATTAAAAATTAATGGGAAAAGTAGCAAATCAGCCTTCTAACTAACATCAATATTGCAAATCATCCCTTATATAGGGTCCGGCCGTCGCCGTTTGGGCGGTTACCGGTGGAGTCTTTAGTAATTTTTTTGAACATCTTCTTCATTAAGTCTAGTTTACCTATACATACCAAATTTCAGCTAAAATTTTAACAGTAAAGACAGTGAAATGATTTTTTGAAATATACTGTGTTGTTTAATGCACAACTATCTACAAAAACCATTATTAAATTTGTTTTCATTAATGCTCTTGAAAACCATTATTCATTAATGCATTACCATTTTTAAATTTGTCTTGTCGTGAATTAACAAAATATGATATTTTTTTTAGTTTTTTTTATAACAAATAGAGAATTGATCAAAGTTGTGTGTTTGATAATTTTCTCATTATATAAATGGTTTTTGCAATTACCGAAAATGTATAATTCCACATTCAAATATATGGTTCGGTCCTCAACTATTTAAACTTCTCATCTATGTTTTTGTACCCTGGCTGGCTGGCTTGGCACAGTCACATTTCTAACCATTGTTTCTGCTAACAAGGTGCTTTACTAATTACGTACAATTCTCAGCGCTTAAATGTTTTTAATTTTTTGCATACGATCAACTTTTATATTAATCATACTCCATACATTTTATCGAACTAACATAATCCTTTGTAGCGTGATAAAAATAAAAAGCTTATTTTGAAATACTTTTTAAGCATCACGGTTCAATTCGGTGTATGCACACATAATAATACAAACAATATCCTTTTATATATATATATTGTATTTTGACCAAGTTTCAAACTCACTTAACCAGAAAAGGAAGAATCTTTTGGATTTAGAATTAAACATTTGTTGAGGTAAATTATGATTACGTGATTGACAAAGGGCCTTTTGGAAATAAAATTTACTCATTTTTTCTTGATTATTTGGATGATAGGTAAAAAAAATGAACATGATTAAGAGAGTGTTTGCGATTGCTTGTGTTTTTTAAAAGTGATTTTTTAAGAGATTGTTGGAAAAGTGATTTGTAGTAAAAGTTGGTAGTGTTTGGGAGTAGAAGTGATTATAATGAAAGTGTGAAAGTTGGAGTGTTTGATAAAAAAGTGATTTTTAATGTAATATTTTATTAAAGTACAAAAATACCCTTGCATAAATTTAGTAATTGCATTTATACACACAGAAACATCATTGTCTTCTTCACTAGTACTCTGATGGATCGGAAATACGTTGTACTCTCAGGCAGACATCCATTGTTCCAGTTCAGCTAATTTATTGCAGAAATGTTTTCATCTCTTTTTCATTTGGGGAACACACTGAAGCTTTTTGCTCAAATAAAACATGGGAACTTCCGGACAGACTTCATCAACGGTTGACTCTAAGGAATTGGTCAATTAATTTGTTGGTTCACATGACGATATCTATTTGATTCAAAGGGTGGAGGGTAAACCTTTAATCCCAGTTTCAATAGAAAAAGAATACTCATTAATTTATTGACATCTAACCAAAACCTAACCCCACACCTTCAAGGTTGGAAGCTTGAATTGGCCGGAAGGGGACGCCGGAGCTGACACCTTCAAGCCGGAGGTTCGAATTGAATGAGAGGGCATGACGGAGGTGCTTACATCTTCAAGGTCGAAGTTCCTATGAAAGAGGTTGAAGCTGACGGTCCTATGTGCGTACGATGGATATGGCTTGTAACGACCTCACTGTCCAGAAGGGTGAAGAGAGGGGTGGGGGTATTTTAGATTTTTAATGAATTTATTTGGTATTATAAACATCCTTAAAGTTTGAGTTATTTACAAAAAAATCGAGAAGCAGTTAAAAGCACCTCAGGGCCAGCTTTCAGCTTTTGGCTTAAAAGTGATTTTTTAAGTAGAAGTTGGTGTTTGAAAACACAACCTAAGGATATCTAGACAAGATTGCTTGGAAACATGAGAGTCTTGGATTTATTATGAATTACATAACCACTTCGTTGTATAAGGATGTTTTCTTTTGGACTGAAATTTGCTGGTCTGGTCTGGTCTGGTCTGTTTAAGTCTGGTCTGGTCTGGTCTGTTTAAGTCTGGTCTGGTCTGTTCTGGTCTGGTCTGTTTAAGTCTGGTCTGGTCTGGTCTGGGACTGAAAACAGTCCAAAAGAAACATCCTAAGAGTCACAATATTATACATGAACATTGTATCTATAAAAAATTTGAAAATAAAAACATCATTATAAATATATGAGCATTACAATACAAAAAATGTAATGTATAATGGTAAAAAGAAAATAAATGAAAATAAAAACATCATTATAAATATAGGAACTAGATTTTATTAATTACTACTACAACTTAGGCTATCAAGATATTTTAGGCAAAGCCTATGCTTAACCAACTTATAGTGTATATGCACCCCTGAAATATTCGGCCATTCGGGGTGAGCTAAATATAAAAATTAAAAAAAATTACACTAAAAAAATTGAAAAAAATTAAATTGCAGTTTCTGCCCACCATATATAACTTATACAAAGTACATAGCTTCTCCCCTGTGCTAAACTATACAATATCGATGCAAAACGTACACTTTGAGGTTTAAAAGAAAAAACGTAAACTTTAATGGGCAAAACTGTAATGGATACAAATTGATTATTTAGATATTCTTTTTTCATTTCGATTCACACTTAAATTGCAATATGAGGGTTCTTTTTTCCTTCCAGCCTTGCCCTCCTGATCCGCCTCCCGTTTTGGAATTCTCTTTGGATGAATGACTCTTAGCTGCACTGGAGGATCCCTCTACGAGCCACTTGTTTCCTGTTGTAGGACTAGACTTCACCACCCCACAAACTCTCGAACTAACTCCATATTTTTTCTCCAAATCAAGTTATCCTTATAAGTCAGAGGACAAAACTTATCAGCATGACCAATAATTTCACGAATAAAGCAAAATTGGGCAATTTTTTATATTTAAAATCCACTCAATGCTTAATTCCCGCTTTCTTAAGAGTTGTTCCTCTCTTCAGAGATTTACTCACATCCATACAAACCCTAACACGCAAATAAACCTCTCACTTTTCATCTAATTGATTGTCATCATATTTGATAGAACTACCAATAAAATTGTCAACTCTTCTAGCAGTGCCTAGGTTCATCAGGCTATAAGGAACATTATGGACCTAGTTATTTGATAATAATTATTTAAGTTATTCAGAGTTATTTATGTTGATCAAGTGAGTACAAAACATGATCATTGAATTGGATAGACGTACTACCATACGCACTACTTTATAATAAAATTAAATTTAGAGCAAGACAGTCCACATACGAGCGAACAAGATCTAGTGTCGGAGTGACATCATCTTTGGCGCCACGGTAGCCACTAGCTTTGTATTTCCTATATAAAGTTTCTCAACATATACATTAGAGAGATAGACACAAAGATTAAATTTGTGACATTTTTCTCTCTTGCTTTTTATGGTCTTATTTGTTTTTGGTAAGTTTTTTTTAACAATATATTGTACCTTTCTGAAAGTCCTAGTTAAGTAGTTATTCAAAAGGAAAAATAACTAGGACTAAACAAGTGAGCGGATAAGTAGTTATTCAAAAGGAAAAATAACTAGGACTAAACAAGTGAGCGGATTCGAACTTGGACAAACTACGCAAGCATGCAATATTAGATATTACAAATTATTACAAATTGATTATTTAGATATTCTTTTTTCTTCATATGCTTGTGTACAATAAATTGCACTTGATAATTGTCACATACTAGTACTTAATATTAGAAGATAAATATGAACGTAGTCTTGTTTTGATTATAGGTATCTGTTATATAATTCTCTACCACCATCATCATTAAATAAAATGACTAGAGTACGTATTTAGGATAAATAGATACTCGTATATAAATAAAGAAACACTTCGTACTACGTATGAGATTTTAATTAATTTGCTTTTCTAGTACTTCAAAATCTGTAAAGATCGTCCCCCATATATAAAAGATGTTCAATCAATTTGGGCTGGGCCAGAACATATATGAAAGGATCTACAAATTAAAGTGGATGGGTCCTCCTGTCTTCTTTCCCGGCCCGCTGGTTGACTTGTTCTTTCACTTCCTCCATCTGTATTCATGTCGATCAATTTCCTCGATCCAACGGTCCAGCTGATTTCATATGACAATCCACCTTCTCCATGCATAACTAATTAGATTAATATTTATACTGTACTAACTAAGGAATATAACATTCTCTGCAATTATATTCCTGCTCTCGAACATCAGATTAAACCCGCCAACGAAGCTGCACAAAACTGATTGAGAAAAACAATTATTAGATAAGTAATCAATTAATTGTAATCACATCTCTTAAAGCGAAATTAATTGTATGTAGGTGTATTTAGGGGCAGTGATAGATGTCTCACCAGATGATTAATGTATGTGTTGGTCAGTGTTGGGGTTGTATATAATTAATGGAATGAACACAAGTTGTTGCTGGTGAATCCATTTTCATTAATGAACTTGTGTCTGTGATCTTCCCCGCCCCACAAAAGCTGTCCATTGCCCTGTAAATGATGTCACTCTAATTAAGATATATACCATATTTTCAAGCCTTAACATGTTTGGATCCATTTTTTTTAAATGATCTAATCTAAATTTGAGAAATTGGGGATGACCACCTTTCGAAAAATTGATTCTAGTTCAATTTCAAATACTCATAACACGGTTCAATTCTAAAAGTAAGAGTAACACAAAATCTCATATAGTAATTTAATAGATCTATGGATGACACAAAAGGACTTACTATCCTCCTCCTTCCCAAGTAAAAGTTCTCGTTTACTAAGCTCCGGTTAACATAAATTGTTTAAAATTTTAGAAATTTTAGTAGTAAAAATGAAATTTGAAAATAAGACTTCCACGTTTTTTTGGTCTGAATAGGAATAAAATCTGACAAGTTCAGGAAAAACTTGACAAAAACTGTGCGAAAATTACTCATATTTTGAAGATAAAAAAATGAGTCCTATTTTAGATTTTCAAAACCTTTTTACTCCTATTTAGAGAATTATGCCTTATAATTTTTTACTTTATACATCCAACTATTACTAGCTAGATTTGAATTCTTTTGTTAGTATATAAAACTTTTAACGTGATTTCTGAATACACAAAAATAGTTTTATTTTTGAAAAAGATCAGTATGAGAACCTTTACTCTGGGACGAAAAGTTTAGGATTTTAGGAGAATGTTTAATATTGAACATACCATATTGAGGGGATTAGTAAGGGCATGGGGAGGTTGTTGATGATAGAGGCGAGGTACTGAGCAATCCAAGAGAGGAAAATCGTCGCAATTTGGTGAGGTAGTCAACACTGTATTTGCGTCAGACACCACCGCTGCGGCGGTGGGGTTACATAATAGCTGCTGCTGCTGCTGAATATTTCCCATTGCGCCATTCATCCTCTCTATATGCATGTCCTGAAATTATAATTATATCCCAAAGGATAATATAATTATTATTTTTCTTTTTCTTGATATATCCAACGTAATCTAAGCTTTCCAATCTTTTCTTTTTCCCATAAAAAGAGGTCACTTTTTCCTAGTCCCTACCACAAAAGAAATCTATCACAAATAATGTTACTAAATCAAACCAAACAATCCCTACATATCCTATTGAGTACGGAATATCGGAAGGGGAAAATGTAATGTACATGTACTTATTTGAGTTATATCTTATCTCAAATGGAGTAGAAAAAAATGTTCTTATCCACCGAAATGTATTATTTGAGGCAACCAACATCTTTCCCGGTGGGTTCTTTTGCAGAAATTATGTATTCATTTGGAAAAATTCTTAATGATAACAAACTTCCTAGATACAGGACATGTTATATATGCATATAACTAAGTTATTGCTTTAATAATGAATATAAACATAAGTTACAGAATTAAATGAATAAAACTAGATAGATCTTATGAGAGGTCTTGAGTTCGAAACTTTGTTGGCTTAGTTTCGATCCTGGTTACCGCATGCATCCCGAGTCCCGACCCCCAGGTAAAAAAATTAACAAAACTCCAATGGTAGATGAAAATATGTTTTCCATGAAATATTCCCCGGTGGTAATTGTTTTCTTTTCTTGGTATGATTTACTTTGTGAGGTTAACCACGGTGTCAACTAATGTGAGGAGGAAAATGACATGTAATTAGGGAGTAAACACATAATGTTCATTCTCCAGCTGTTTTTCACATCTAAAAGAGTCTCCACAACAGTTGTAATACTAAAATAAGTTTATTGAAAAGACAACTCCTTTATTGAAAAAGTTTACTTTATCTCTTTGATATATCTATTTTTGCTTTTCTTGCATAATGTTTCTCAAGGATATTTAAAAAAAAATGATGATATGAATATATGATAGAGTATATACCTGCTGGTCAGGTCTCATGATAGGGTCCAAATCCATGCCATAGTCATAAAACATGGGACTCACTGAAGTAAGCTTCATTGACAGAAACTGAAGAAGAGAAAGAAAATTAGTCAAACTGATTTCCTGTTACCTTAATAATACATAATCCCCATATTGAATGGATGGTTTATCTATTTATTTAAATATTACGAAGTACTACTATTAATTACCTCAACTTGATTTTGCAAGGATTGGACATAGTTGATAATCTCATCTAACATGAGGGCCTTCCCAGAAACTTTGTCGCAACCAGGGACAAGATCTTGCAGTAATTTCATCCTTTCACTTATTTTCTCTCTCCTTACCTGAACAATTAATTTATTTATTCAATTTTTGATAAATAAAATTAATTATGTACATAGTAATATTGAAAATAGGTAGGGTACGTACCCGTTCGGCGAGACTGTGACTGTCAGTTGCCTGGCCCCTTCGTGCCCTTACATGGATGTATCCTGTAGGGGCCTCCTCTGTACATTTCTTGTCCTCTTTCATCTTTTTCTCCTTTCCTTCCTTCACTGCATTTCCTTTTCTCTGCCTCTTTCCTTCTTCACCTTCCCTCCCATTATTATTATTCTGTAAATATACAATGTTAGGTATACTTTCTTATCAGTAAAAAAGATGAATCTTATTCCATCCCTTCTAGGAGTAAAATAAATGAAGTTTCCACTTTCCATTCTTGGTCCACATTCAAATAACCTTGACCTCTGCATAAAGTGCATGTACCACTTAGATACTATACTCATCTTGAGTCTTGAACAATTTGTTTTAACATGCATATTACTAAAATATGGATTAATAATTAATTGTAAAAATTTATAAAAGGGTTTTCACTTTTCTAGATAAAAAGTTATTGTGTATAAATCATGCCACTTCAATATAGACTGAACATGGAAGTCTCCAAAAGGCACCCTTATACTATCTCCGTTCTTTAATTAATTTTTGCAACATCTCCGTTCTTTAATTAATTTTTGCAACAGTTTGACTTTCACGTTTGACAATGCACAACTTTGATTGTAATTATATTTAATTATGTATTAGTAAACATTATAAAAAGTTGATATTTTGGAAATTCACATTGATAGGAATTTGATAACATTTTATACGTAATAATTTGATTATGTATATTAGTAAAAAATCATGATCAAAGTAAAATGTGTGACAGTGGAAAAATCACAAAGTTCCAAGTATGTAGTAGTTGTTATTTATAAAGTCACATTTTTATCAATTACTTTCACTGTGAAAACTATTAATATCAAAATACAAAACTTATAATGGGATGAAGAGATTACATGGAGCTTACTTTTTTATTTTATTTTATTTTATTTTTTATTTTTATGGAGCTTACTATTCTTAACTGCATTAACTTTGTAAATGAAATTGGGACAGAGGTAGTGATATATAAAGTGTTAAGTTTTGTGGTTACGCTTAGCATAAAACACAAGAATTAATTGTGGGAATAACTGATTAAGGCAAGGCAAATGATAAGTTGAAAGTGGGGAAAAAAGTGAAATAGGTTCTACCTTGGAAGATGGAAGGGAGTTGAAGGAAGAAGAGTGATGCTTGGATTTCCTTTTCCTGGGCATTATTGATGGAGTCACGCGGTCCCCACTCTCTTGTCTGGTAGTTGTCACCGAGGAAGAGGGGGAGGTGGAGGCGGAGGCGGCGGCGGCCTCCGTGATGTTATTGTCGGTGGTCAGAAACGGGGAGAGCTCCTGAACAGATTCAGACTGGTAAAACTGGGAAAATTTGTGGGTGTTTTCACCCATGAAATTCCCAGAGGGAATCTTGTACATGGTGGAATTAGGTTCCAGAAACACTACGGATGATGAAGATGAAGTTGAATCGAGAAAGCTTTGGTATGTTGGGAAAGCTGCCATTTTTATTCTCTCTTTTCTCTCTTTTCCTTGACTAGCGGTTGAGAAAGTTGCAGGAAAATGAGAGCTGAGCAGCAAATAAATTGGTCTGTAGAAATCCAAGTGTTCAGGTTTTTATATAGGCAAAGTGGCAGCTAGCTGAGAGAAAAAAAAAGGCAGTAATAAAAAAATGAAATAAATAAATAAATGAATGAATCTTTTTTTCTTTGATTCTGGTAGTCTCGTCCTACATTTGACCGGTCTTGTCTTGGAGCTTCTATTTCTATTAAAGAGAAAAGAGAGATCTTTTTTTATCCCGAGACATCAAAACTACAGTAGTTTTTTCTTACATATTCAACAGTTATTTTGTGGAAGCTACGGTAATGATAGGGTGCCACTTTTACCGGCAAGTGTTTGAGTAGTAAATAATTTCACCAGAATAATGACACTTTTAGCTCAAACAAAGTCAAAATTCAAAATCCGAACACTGTATCATTCAATCAATGAATGTTTGTTTAACTTATCTAGCTATTACCAAGTATTTTTATTGCCAGTTAAAACATGACCATGTGAGCTCACTAATTAATGGAAATTACAATTTATATTAGAAAAAAATCTTTAAATAATATTAAAACATACTATCTCCGTCACAATGAACTTTGCACTCTTTGAATTACGTGAGAAATAAGAATAATAAAAATTGTGTGGTTGAAGTTTGTGCAGAGGAGAGATAAATGAGCAGAACCATAAAATAGTTACTCTAATGGAAAAGTGACTGAGTTTTAATTGAGTCAACCAAAAAGGGAAAGTTGGCAAAGTCCAATGGGACGGAGGGAGTACCATATTTGTTTCCTCCAAAACGCATATTACAGATAATTCTGTGGTGAAATATAATTTCAACAACAAGAGCTTAATCTATTGAAAGTAATAACATTATTATTAGTCTGGCCAACTCTCAATGTGTCATCCCTTTTACAGGATATATGTAGAAGAGTATTTCTAGGTGTAGTAGTATTGGATGATTAAAAGGAGAGTTAACTATTGTATTTAATGACTCTAATTATGATAGGAGTCTTGAAATGTCTCTGTCATAACTCTCATGTTTAATGTCTCCTTTGTGCCCACGACCCTTCTGAAGCCACTAATCATGTTCTCGGTTATGGAACGTTTGCCACATAAGCCCTAGGAAGAATCCGACCTCCAAGGGATTTCCACTGAGCCTAGCTCCTGATGTCCAGGTCGGCTCATGCGTGGTTGACCTCATGATGGACCTAGACCCTCTTGTTCAGGCCCTCGTGACTTGTTCAGACTTCCACGGGATTACCACTAGCATGGCGCCTGCTGTCTAAGTCGGTTCAGGCGTGGCCAACCTCGTAGTGAATTTGGATCTTCCTATTTAGGCTTGGGAAAAGTGTCAAATAAGCCCCCTACTAATATGAAAAAGTCAATTAAGCCCCCGAACTCAAAAAACATCCAATTAAGCCCACGAACTAAATATAATGAGGCAAAACAGTCCTTTTAGCAGGATATTAACCGTTCCCAGTTAAGTTCCATGTGTGGCAAATGATGTGGCATGCTTTTACATTTTCTTTTTCTCCTTTTCTCTTTCTTTCCTTTCTTCCTTATCTCTTTTTAACCGCTTAATTATCTCCTAAAAGGACTGTTTTGCCTCGTTTTTTATAGTTTGTGGGTTTAATTGAGTGTTTTTTTTGAGTTCAGGGGCTTAATTGACTTTTCTGTATTAGTAGGAGGGCCTATTTGACAGTTTTCCCTTTAGGCTTTTATGGCTTTCTCTTTAATCCTTTGTCTGGGTTGGGCCGGAATTAAGTATTCATTTATGTATCTGGGCTATGGGTTATGCCCATAGTACCATTATTCTCTAAATAATGGACTATCACTGTTTAGTTCTCAAAATATGACTCATTCACTCTTATTATGAAAAAAAATACTCAACTTATTCTTTTGATGGGACTAAATGAGTCATATTTGGCGAATAAAGTAGAAATAATTACATATTTACAACTAAAGTAAAGATTATTTACAAAAATGTGACTTGTGACTAGAGTAGTAATGAAATCATAGTAATTTATGTTTAAATTTTAAACTTAGGTTACTATGACACTACATTGTAGTAATTAGTCTTATTTGTGTAAAAAAAGGTTTTATTTTAGTACTCCGTAACATTTTTTGAAAAACTAACGTAACTAACGTAAGTGGTCATTGGTAAAAGTGGTTCAAAGTTTCAAACTACTTAGGCTTTGTTTGCAAGTATTTGTGTTTAAATAAAAGCACTTTTGGAAAACAGTGATTAATAGTAAAAGTTGATAGTGTTTGGTAAAATAAGTGCTTTTGTGAAATAGAATAAGTAAAAAGTAGATTCTACACGAAAGCCGAGAAAGTAAAAATTGATAGTGTTTAGTAAAATAAATGTTTTTTTTCTTTTAAAAAAGTCACAAGCACTTAAATTAAGGGCTTGCAAACAAAGCCTTATTAATTGCAAATACGAAAAATAATTAGGAAAAAGACGTGGGAGAATGTGTTTTACAAAACGTTACTGTATTCAAAAGTTTAACAGATCTCGTCGTATTAGCTAAATGATCCTTAACTTTTTTTAAAAATCAAATAACTAATTTATTACTCCGTATTAAACGATAACAAAGATACAAGAGAAAGAATAGACTAAGGCTACAATGGGATGAGACATGGAACGGAACAGATCCAATGAATCCTTCCAGATCGCCAACCGTGCAATAATGTAGTCTAGTCTAACAGCCTTGCTGCTCTTCTTGCTACTCCAAAGAGAAAATAAAAAATTACAACTAAAAGATCCGGCTTCACCAGCCACCGAAAAGGGAGAATTGGTTTGACCAGCAACCAACAAAGGAAAATCAGTCGAGTAGAAATTTTCTGAAGCATCGGTTTGACCAGCCACCGAAAAGGAGATCTAATTGATCATCTTCTTCTTCCCAGAGCGAGGCGGTGGGCGAGTATTTGAAACAATCGGAATGACAAAGTTGAAAAAGCTTTACCAACCATGAACAACAAAGATTCACCAAATCAATTACACCGATTAGAAATACATAGGCTCTAGCCATTGCTAGGAGATTAACATACCACACGCTCACATGAAGCAGACAAAATTTTCGGCCAATGAAGAATCCGGGCCAAAAAGCTAAATGATCCTTAATTAAACGTCATTATTTAAGCCTGTTAGTGTTAACAGTATCTATCATATTCTTGTTGAGACTTGAGATCGAGTGCAAGGATGTTTTCTTTTGGACTGCTTTCAATCCCCGACCAGACCAGATTTAAACAGATCAGACCAGACTTTCGTAGTTATAAAATACACATAGATCAGACGTTTACCAGACCTGACCAGACCAGTCCAGACCAGACTTAAAAAGACCAGACCAGACCAGCAAATTTCAGTCGAAAACATCCTTAGTCACATTCATGCTGGCTTGTAAGCTTTCAAACATGAGTTACTTGCAATTTGCAAAAAAGTAAATGTTTAATACTTTGGTCTCATCCCACTAATGTCTATTAATTACGGTATGGATCACTACTTTAAATTTATTAATCATGTCGAATGAGGGTGAAATGATTGTAAAATAACAAAATCACCTCAATCTTTCTCGGGTGACATTAAATTATCCAATTTTAATTGTACCTCTAAAAAATCCTCTTTACCTCAAGACTATTGAGACATTGTCGTATACCTTCTTCAACTTTGGATACGATCATTATTCAGTCTTACGACTATGTTGACGTTTTCACCAATGGTCTTCAGTTAAATTTCCCCATCATGAACCGTATTTAATTAATGAACCATAAATCAAGGGAATTGAATTACTATTTCTATAATAATTTTTCGATGTTTTCCTTCACGGTTTGTGTTGAAAGAGTTATTAAAAGGATGTGAAAATGAGGTATTGTGAAATTACTCCATTTCAATTTTTTCACACTAATGTTTAGGCCTGGTCCTGCGCACGGCCCAATCGCATTACATATTCCCTTTTCCTAACAAAATTTTATCAAATTGATTTTTTGATCTATACCAATTGCATATCGGGATAAATGCCCGTGCCCATCAGCCCATGTATGAGTAAAACTCATCACAATTCCCAAATGACTATAGAAGATTTTAATACATGACATCCGTATAAATGAAGAGTATTTGATGACCAAAATGACCTTAAAAACAATCTCATGTAGAGGGTATGCAACTTCCGATCTTAGTAAATTTGGAATGAACATAAATAATACACGGCAGTTAGGATAATTATAGTAGTATCATATTTGGAAAACAAACCTGCAAGTCATATTTTGATAAAAGTTCGAACTTTTAGTCACATGTGAGATAAATTTCTCTTGCCATATTTTCATGTACAGTTTTTTTCTTTTTGCATATCTTTCTAATTCATGTACAGTTTTTACTTTATTCTTATGGTTCATGTTAGTCAAACTTTTGGGATGGAGGGAGTATTTGTGTCTATTAAAAACAAAAACTTAAATGATGAATCCAATTGAGATGAGTGTAGCTTATGATGACTGTTTGGTCATTTTTAGTATGTATAATAACATTAAAATTGATTCAATCGGTTAATTGTGCTGAAACTGATAAAGTTTTAACTAAAGTGGTTGGATTGATTGAATTTGTCGAATTATGAAACACAACTTAAAGTATGTTTTCTTGATAAAATAAAGGAAAATATATATAAAAAACAATCAAACTAAGTCTCTACAATAACTTCAACCAATTTAGCCAAAACTAACTCAACCTTACTTATTTTGGTTAGTAATATTCTAGAATGGAGGCTCCTACTCCTATTTATAATAGAATAGGTAGTCATGTGTAGATCATTCTAGGGAACTTACTCTCCACCACTCATTATGGAGGTGAAGTTGTATAAATAGGAGTAGGAGCCTCCATTCCTAACCATCCTAGCCAAGAGTGAATCCACTTCTAGAGTGTGAAAGTTAGAGAGCCTCTTTGAGAGAGAAGAGAGATAGCTTGCGAAGTTCCTATCCTCAAGCTTGTGTGAGCCACCATTGAGTGAGACAATTTTGTAACATCCTTGTAAATCCTACTATTCTTTTGTACAGTGGAAGAATATCCATATTGGAGAATTTAAATC